TTTGGCTAGTTCAAGTCACCTGTCCCGGCTATGCTCCCTCCCAATTTCCTGTGTATCTTCTCACTGGCAGAGCATGAGACACAAGCAAGAAAATGTCCTTGGTTTATGATAAACACAATCCAGCAAAACCAAAACAACAATGTATTATCACTTCTGAATTCAAAACACTGCACTACACTAGCTACTGAGAAAATTAACCCCATCCTGGCTAAAACCAGGACAGGTGTGATGAAAACTTCAGTTGTAGCCTCTGACATGTTTCCCTGCTGTCTGTGAGGGGCCAACAGTGAGCCCCAGGGGTGGCAATTCCCTCCTGGAGGAAACTCCACAGGGAGAAGGTTTCAGCATGTTTAAGGAACTATTCAGAGCATGTAATCCAAAATCCAGAGATGTTATCCAAATGCTTGCTAGATTGGAGACAAAGTATTTTAAAAGCACTTGTTAGATAAAGTTCTGTTAATGTCTGGTTTCCTCCCAGTGTCCCCAGCAGCTCCACCCTCTTACCCTCGTTCACAGACAGATCCCTGGAGCCATTTCGGAGCTGCTTGGCTCCCAGAAGGATCTGATTTCCATTACCAGCAGTGACAAAACGTTCTGCACTGGCAGGATGGGCCAGGTGTGCCCATGCACCTTGTCCTGCTGCATGTGCCAGCACTGCTGCACCTGCCTGGCACCAGTGCCTCACCTGTGCCGTGGCACACGTCCACCCGCCGGGCCCTGATGTGGTTTGTTTTCCTCTCTGGGTTAGCAGTTAAGTGGTTCTTTGTCCTGTACCACCAGGCGGTTGGGTTGGTAAATACAGAGACATGGCACACACACACAGGTGCAGCCTGTGCCCTGGGAGGGCTGCACACCTGGAGCTCAGGGCTCCCCAGGGCTGGTGCAGCCAGAGGGAGAGGGACCCTGTGACTTCCATGGAGTTGGACTAGTTGTGAAACTTCGAGAGAATCTTGTAGTGAATGTACAATGTTTAGTTTTCCTTTGGCAGTCTCTGGTGTGACCCACAGTAAAGCAGGCAACGAAGTTTAACTCAATAAATTTGGTCATAAAATGCTCTGTCTCTTGTCTCGGGTGTTGGTACTCACAGTGCTGGTGGTGTGGTCCCTGAGCTCTGCAGAGGGCTGGGAGTGCCCAGAGGGGCAGCAGCTCTGGGGCTGGGTTGAGTTTGGGCTTTCAGGCTGAGCTGTGCTCATCCCTGGAGCGTCTCTGCTCTAGGGCAGAGTGAATTGTGTGTGGTGGCTGCCCACCCTAGAGTGCTGTGCTGGCAGAGGTGGGACCAGGGAGGTGGGAGGTTCTGTTGGGGTGTCAGTCTGTCCCTGCTCTGATGGTGCCATCCCTGTCCTTGGCACCCACAGGGCTCTGCCTGCTTGGGTTGTGCACTCACACTTGGGTTGTACACTCACCTGCTGCAAGTGGAGACTTGTACAGCTCTTGTGGTAAATGCAAGGTTGAATTCTTTCTTTACTAGCAGCTTGTTTTGCTTCCAGATGGCAAACTAACAGGAGGCAATGGAAGTGTGACATAGTTTTGTCATAATGGATATGTAAACGTGGTACTTACTTACTGCAGTAGACTGCTGTGAACCATATTCCAGCAGTAACCTTTGAGATCCATCCCTTGGCTGCACACAAGTGTGGTCTGAAAGAGACTTGTAAGGAATTTGCTTTTTTTTTCTGGAGGATTTTTAGTCATTGAAAAGAAAGGGAAATGTTTTCTGTGGACTGAGAAATGTTGGAAGGAAAAAAAGTCTGCTGAGCTTTGTGTTTTAGGATCTTGGGTGTGTTGGGATTTTCCACCCTAAGGCCTTTCAAAGTTCTCTCTGAGCAATGTGCAAATGTCCTGTATGACAACTTACTCTGCATTTCCAAACCTCAGTTGACTGAGCCATGCTTAGGAGCTGCATCGTGCACTCAGAAGTACTGTGGGTTTAAGGCAAAGTCTGAAGCTTGGGGCTGGGGCTGAGGTTTTCACCCAGTTTATGCAATTCGAGTCTTCTCTATTGAATTGTGTCTCAATAGAGACATCAGGAAAACATTTTCTTTGTAGTTTTGTAACTTCTTTATGAAAGACTTTGTTTGCTTGCATTGATATGGGAAGTGGATTTTAATCAACAGCATCTACTTGTCAAGCAGCAGAGATTGTGCAGAAGCTGCTGTCCCTGTCACCAGGGCGTTTGGCCACTGGGGACAGTTCATTCTTGGGAGTCTCCTTGTTACCTGCTGCAGGCAGAATTCAGTGTGCAAACTACCACACAGAGTTCAGGCACTTATTGAAGACATTCTAATGATAATGCATCAAACGCAGGTTTTGGAGGCAGATTTTTCAATGACTTCCACCTGAGGCATCACCTTAGTGAGGACCCTTAATGTGACTGGAGTGAAACCCTGATGGGTCAGGGCTGTGTGTTGCTGTCTCTGCAGAGCTGTTCTGGGTCCAGTCCCTGGCAGAGAGCAGGGACAGTCACTGGTGTGGGGGAGATGTGCTTTGCTTTGCCATGCACCTGCTGGCACAGTCTGCCACTGCCCTGTGCCTTTTTTGCTGGTACTTGTTGTTGTAGTCACTGTGTTTTGGTGCTCTTTCCCCCCCTTGCTGGATGTGCTGTTCAGCA